CTGCCCATCCCCTTGGGGCGAGGCAGGAGCAGGAACCCGGGAGCAAGAAGGCCATGCACGCCTCCAGGTTGCTGGAGGCAGACTCAGTGGCCCTCATGCTTCCCCTCCCCAAGCAGACATGTCTGCTGGCCATTTGCTGCCCGGCCTGTCTTCCTAGACTGTACTGTGCCCGTGAATCACTGGGGATCCTGTCTAAAGGCACGCGGGGACTCAGCGGGCCTGGGAGGGGCTGGATTCCAGATGTCTAAGAAGCCACAGGCCATGATGCTGCTGGTCCACATGGCCCTGAGCATCCACGGAGGGGCCTAAGGCAGTGTGTGGGCCCCGAGATCTAAGAGCAAAGGCCTGGGTGCGAAGCTGCGATCGAGGGGCTCTTTCGTGGCTTTAATGCCCGGAGACACCCACACACAACACACTGAGCCAGCTCCCTGAGCGACCAAGTCCAGGCAGGGCAAAGACACAGGGGCCTGGCTGACACCACCCACAAAAGCGAAGGGGAGGTGACACCCTACTCAGCACATCACCTAAGGTCTGCTGTGGCAAGTCCTGTGTGCAGGGAGGGCGGAGGCGGTGGACAGAGATGTGACGCCCAGAGAAGAGGGAACAGGAGGCACCGCAGGCCACGGAGACCCCGAGGCTGCGTCTGAGACCCAGCCTGTGCCCAGTTAGCAGGCCGGCGTTGCCATGGGCTCGGTGACGCTGCCTCTCCACCCCGCTGCCCGGCCCTCGGCCTCTCCGGTGCATTCTTGGTGTGCAGTGCAGCTGGTTCTCTTGGCCACAGTGTGTGCTGGGCCGTGGTGCCTTCCCAGCCCACTGGAGGCCTGGTCTGCCTGGCAGGGCACCCCGCGTCCCGGGAACCAGGCACCACTGGGCCCAACATCCTCAGGCCGCAGCTTTGGACCCCAAATAGATATCCAGACTCACGCTTCCCCCTCTCCCGGCGGAGCGTGTATGGGGGGATGGGTGCCCACCGTGCTTCCTCCCCCACACCACCCGGCCAGACTGGCGTTAGGACGATGCGTCCACACCCACTTTGCAGAAGGTTCTCCTCCCTGGCCATCAGGGCCACTCCACAGACCTATGGGTCACTGGCAGCTCCTGACCCTCCCAGAACCCTCCACAGCCAGGGATTGCTGCACAGGGGAACTGAGGCAGCCTGGGGCCTACAGATTTTTCTCTCCAGTAACCACGGAGCTTCCCGCAGGCCCTGGCCCATGCCTCGCCCGTTTGTTGTTGAACAAATGGAGACATCTATTAATATTCAGTCAGTCACGCCAGGGGATGTGGCGGGTCCACTTGAGTAAATTCTCCAGATAATTCAAAGCCCATCAGGCCATGGTGACTTTTCAACAGCTTCTTAAACAAAGGTAAATGTGTTTATTCTGTGGCAATGCTTGAGTGCCAGTTCCAGGCCAGGCACTGAGGGAGCCCTAATAGTGACTTGGGGGAACCCTCACCAAGAGTCTGGCAGAGCTGGCCAATGTCAGTGGAATCCCATGTCCTCTGTGCTTCCCACGGAGCTGGCCCCGGGGGCCACAGAGCTGCAGACCTTTCAGGGCAGGTGGCCCCCAAGCCACCCCTGCTGGCTCCCCTGGGCTCGCTCTGCAGCCATCCCTTCACTAGCAAAATAAACAGCGCTATGATAAATGTCATGATTTACTCAACTAATGATCAAAATCATTGTTTTTGCAGACCCCAGGGCAATAAAGTGCAATCACAGGGTGATTTACTCCAGGCAGGAGAAAGGTGGGGTGGGCAAGGGGGCACCACGTTCGGGGAGGTGCCAAGCTGAGCACCAGGATGGAGGGCTGGGAGCTCGGGGGCCTCCTGACAGACCATGCCCAGGGGACACTTCTAGGCACTGCTCCCATGCACAACAGGGCACGCCCACCAGTCTGGGGCAGCATCTCACGTGGGACTTTTTCCTTCCAAAATGACAAGGGGTCCAGTCTTAATGGCCCCAAAGCACCTGGGCCAAAGGGGGCCCTGGAGCAGCTGGGTCCCAAGCTCGGCCTGGCCTGGATGCCTGGGCCCTGAGCCCCAAAGACAACCCGGGTCCCCTTGATTTCTCACCATCTTTGCTAAAATGCCATTACTTGTTCTCTGCTGTAAATGGATCTGTGTTAATGACAGGAAAATTTAATTGCTCTGATTCAGAAAATCTGATCACTGGTGCAAAGAACAATTAGGAGTCAAATTTGGGACCAGGGTGAGAGCATGCCCATGTCTGCCCAGGACAGCCCTGGTTCCACACTGTGCATCGAGCTCGCCCTCCAGGACCTTGCATGGGTGGCTTCTGCCACCCCAGACCCCAGAACCCAGGGCCAGCTGGAGGGCGGGCAGGGCCACCTGGGATGCCAGTTCCGGGAGGCCCCTCCGCAGTGGGCCACAGAGCAGGCGCCGGGCCCGGGTCTCCGTCCCTGACCTCGCCGCTTGGTTGTGATCGGGAGATAAGGCATGTCCAGAGGAAGTCTGGGGGCTGGGGAGGGGACGCCTACCGTTGGGTGTCTCCCTAGCAGCCTGTGCACCCCCAGGAGAGCCAAGAAGCGCAGTAAAACAGCACCCAATGTTCCAGGACACAAGTGGAAAATTCCACTCAGACTGCCCAGGGGGTAGTGACGGCTTCCCTGGCTGGAAGCTCCCCCTAAAAAGCCTGATGCACCGTGTCATTGACCCCAGGTGAAGGTGACTCAGCCTGAGCCCTCAGGAGCTACCGCCCCTCGTCCACTCCAGCCGGTAGCTGCAAGCACGACAACATGGTGCGAATGGCAGTTCTGAAGAAAACCCAGGGGCCATCACGAAGCAGGGTACTGGGGTCCTGAACTTGCAAAGAACACAAGGTCAGACGAGACCGAGGCGGGGGGGTCTGGAGCACTATTTGAGGACGTGGAGTTGAGGGCATAGTTCTGAGCACTGGCATGAAAGGAAGCTGTCGGGCCACAACCATGGGACAAAGCTCTCCGCAGAGGTGGGAGGCGCCAGAGGAGGGGACGTGCCCTCGTGTATGTCGAGAATAAATAACACCGCAGAGTCAACAGGCACGGGCAGGTGATAGCGACAGGCCCTACCGGGCCTGGCACCGTGGGAGCCGCAGCGATACCGGCCATTTCTTTAAAAAAAACAAAACAAAACTAAAAAGTAAAAGCAAACAGAAACTTGTATCAGAGCAGACAAGAACAAAGTCACCTCAAGGTCACCCACAGTACTACCTGCAGGGCTCATTTACACTCCAGCATCTAAGAGCCACCTACTAACTAAACAGTCCCAACCGTTTTAAGTGCCTCAAACAAACACCCTTAAACCCTCTCCTGCACCAAGCAGGAGGGCCAGGCCCGGCCACTGCTGCAAGAGCCAACTCTAATGCACAGCCCCAAATCCGCACCTGCCATGTGGTTTCAAAAGTGCTTTCCTTGGGCCCATGAGGATGACGTGTGAGCCCCGACGCACCATGTCACATGCCACCGGAGGCCTGCGACTCCACATGCATCCTCTCCTGCCTCTGCTCGCTCCCTGGCCCCTGGCCAGTCAGGGCCCAAGGTGACCTTGAACTTCAGCCCCACGTGCTGTGTCTGCCACCTCTGGACGGGAGGGGACGTGAGCTGCCACTTACACTGGCAGTGTCAGGAGCTGCAGACACCGCCACGCTGGACTATGGTGAAGCCCAGTATCTGTTCCTTGGGCCACCTGGGCCACCTGACTGCCCACCTGGATCACCAGAGCCCTCTAAAGAGCCAGGGACTCAGGTTGATGTTCAGGTAAAACTGCCCGTGACGAAGAGCCACACAAGACCCTAGGCTACCAGGGACCCCGCACACCCACTGGAAAGGGAAGGACCGTGCTGGGCCTCAGTGCTGGGGCACACAGCCCCCTCCTGCCACCCAGTCAGGCCCAGAAACACAACCCAGCTCCCTGCTGGGTCTCAGAGCCTCCCCAGGGCCCTGAAGGGGGCGCTGTGCACTGGTCATCTCCAGGTCCCTGGGAGATGTGGTCATCAAGTGCAAAGTCAGAGGCGCCTGAAGCATTGTGAACAAGAGAGCACGCAGGCCCAGTCTGTCCTCTTTCTGCAGGTCGGCTTGGACACGTTTCCAAAGCCGCTTCGAGAGGTGGGGGACAAGAGATAGGACCCCCTGGCCCACACACATTCATCCCCACCCCCAGCCGGGAGGGCCGGGCCCAGGCACCAGGGCCCCTTCCTTCCCGGGACTCTGCCCTTCCCAGCCCTGACCTCAGTCCAGCGTTTCAGAGGCTGTGAAACCCCAGAAGGAATCTGGATTTGCATTCCCACTTTCTGCCCAGCCAGGGTCCCTGCCAAAAATACCACGGGAACTTGGCTGTGCACGGCTGGCGGGAGGCCGGGCCCGTGAGGAACAGCGCTTTGTGGTGCTCTCAGTCCCCGTGAGGCCCCCAGACCGGGCTCAGCATCGCTCGTGGCCTGAACAGGACGCCTCTGGACACTGCAGGGGCATCTTCAATGGCACTGGATGGGGGCCTCTGGCCTAACGCACCTTTCCTTTCCTGACCCACAAGGACTCCTGCACCTCAGAGGCAGGCAGGACCTCGTGCCCCTGAAACCTGCACGAGGGCCTCTTGAGCTGGGCAGGAGGCCACGGTTCCATGTGATCTGTGCCGGCTCCGTGACAGGAGGGAGCCCCAAGCACAGCCACCTCCTCTGGGACGTCCGATTCATCTCCCCCACTCCCTGAGGTGGCATGTTAGCACCTCCAATCCGACAGGGACCAGGATGTTTTAAGACATGAGCTCATGAAAGACACATTTCCGGGAGCAGAGCACCCCAGCCGATGGGACTGACAGGCGTCCACGAGGGCCGCTGATGTTTTCTGAGTCGCGTCATGAGGCTGCAGGATAAAATAACCCTGGGAAATGTGACATTCGAACGCTCTCTCCGACCCACGGAGCCTCCCGCCTCAGGCAGTGGCTGCTCACCCGGCTTTATAAATAGATTGAACACAAGATAAATGGCCGTGATCAATCACGCTCACCTCCCATCCAAAGTCTGCCTCCTTCAGCGCGGCCCGGGGCGCCAGCATGTAGGGGCCAAACCTCTCCCCGACTTCCATCTTCCGCTTGGCCCAGATCCCCAGGCCGGCCCCGGGGATGGAGGACTCCCGCAGCTCCAAGTCTGGCGGGATGGGAATGTCTTCGGGAATGTAGACAGGGGCCTCGTAGGGCGAGCCTTCCTTGGGGGTGAAGTCCTCACTGGTGGGGAAGGGGGACGGCGGCCCCATGGGGATGGGGGACAGGATGCTGTCCTCGGTCTCCTCCTCGGCACTCTGGCCGGCCAGCAGGTCCGGGTCAGGCTCATACATATTATTTACAACGTCTCCGTCACCTAAACGAGATAAAGCAGTGTCAGCGTCTGCAGCACACAAACCCAGGACCCGGGCACCAACACACCCTGCAGGCCCTGCCACCACTCCTGCCCGGTAGACGCTGCCTCTGTGCCACCGTGAGCAAGCAGCTGGCGCAGGATGCCAGAGGCTCCAGGGCAGAGCCACCAGGCTCCTTGGGGACCAATGTTTTAACCAGGCAGCACCATGCAGCAGCACCAGGGTGTGCTAGTCACTTCAGAACCGTGCGGGTCTCATCTGTGGCCTTGGAAAATGGGGAACCAGGAAACACTGAGTTCTGTCAGACTCCTGTCCCAGCCTGTGGCTCCTCTGGACGTATCACTGGGCCCGCCTGGGCCCTGGCTTGAGTCCCTGGCAGTGCCTGATGAGCTCAGGGTGGGTGGAAAGCAGGCTTTCTGGAATCCCGAGCCTGAGACTCATGGGGCTGCATGTCACAGGACTGAGCATACAGAACAGGGTCCCCAGCCTGTCTGGGGGATGGGCTTTTCTTTGGGGTCCAACCCAAGTGAAGGTTGATGCTGGGATTGCACCCCGTGGAGTGCACAGAGGGTAGACTGAGGGATGTAGGGCAGGAGGAAGCCTGGTGGGATGGGGACGGGGTCAGACGGAAGGAAGCAGCTCTGCCCAAAGCATCTCTCCCAGCATCTGCCCAAAGCACCCAAACGGGGCCTCGGCAGGTGGTCAGTGGGAGTGGCTCAGCACCAGGAGCTGCCTGAGTGTCCACCAGCCACTGAGCAGATGAACTAATGTGGTCCACGGTGCAGGTGAGGCTGCCCTGTGTCAGGGGATAAAGCACCACCAGGCAGCGAGGGACGAGTTTAAAATCCTCTCACAGCCATTCTGTAAAGTACATCACCACTGACGGCAGCGACCGACCTCTGTGCACGGTGAGCGGTGAGCCAGAAGCTACTCCTGCCTGTCTTTGTCCCCGACCCCTACTGAGGGCATGGCTACGCTGACCCCTGGTGCCTACTCTCCAACATGTGCGCGTACGGAAACATCGCACTGCAGCCCACAAACACACGCTCATTTGTCTAATAAAATAAAGACACACTAGGCAAAGAGCAAGAAAGCAGACACAGGAGACAAGTACTGAATAAGCCCAGGCTGGCGCGGCATCCACAACCAGCAAGTCCACAGGGACAGGACCCAGCTGGAGGTCACTGGGGACAGCAGTGTGGCTGGTGGGCAGCGGTCTCTGGGTGGCAAGGGGGCTTGGAGCTGGATAGAGCCAAGGCTACACAAGGTAACTGATGATTTGAAATGGGAAGAAAAGGTCCAAAGGGGTAGGGGAAGTGGGAGGGGAAGGGGAAAGGAAAAATTAAGAGAAAAGAAATCTGTGTAAATAGGGAAGGGTGGAGGGGGTGAAGGACGCACAGGGAATGGGGAAAAAATAAGAACCAAGATTCATCATGTACAGGTACAAACACCAGTGATAAATGTAAACGTACTGTTCACCTAAAATGGACCAATAAGAGAATTTAAGCAAAAAAAAAGAGAACGCGCTGGTGCTCAAGGCCACCAAATCGCTCCCTTTAAAACGGTTACTTCTTATGTCACAGGACTTCACCTCCCTGACGACAGCGGTGAGGGCTCAGAGCGTGGAGGGCTTGCTTCTGGACCACAGAGGCTGTCTGCCCTCGTCCCTGCCTGAAGCCAATCTGCAACCTGGGCGGGGACCCTCGGGCGGTGGCCAGGCGCCTCCCGGTTCCCCGACTTTGGCTGGTGAAAGAGAAGCCTCGGGGAGATGCGAACTTCAGAGCACAAGAAAAATGATTTCAGATTCCTCACGCTGGTTGCAAACAGATCGGCTTGAGAAGTCACAAAATGTTTTCTTTCAAAAGAAACCAAAGTCTCGGAAAAAAAAAATCATGGGGATAACACTTATTTAATTTAGCAGCATTCACAGAAGTAATGATTATGTTTTAAGTGGCCAACGGTTCCTTTTTAATTGGCTGGTGGGCTCCTTTCAGAGACGCAGCAACAGAACTGCCGCCCGGTGCCTCCGCCCTGAAGCCCGAGTTGTTTAGGTTTGAAAGCACACCCCGTACGCCTTCCCGTTGACTGTGTGCGGCAGAAAGGTAAATTAGAAGGGGGGGTAATTAACATGCCACCTTATTATTGGGAACTGGTAACCGCGCAGCGCTCACAAACAAAATCGCGCTGGAAGCCTGCTTCCCTGCAAGCCTTCTTAACTCCTTCGGGGCGTGGCTGCCTCTGCCTCCACAGTCAGCAGGGCCCAATGTGATCCGGGTGTCTGCAGGGCCTGGGGGCTGTCCCTGGCCAGTGCATGTTCACCTTGGGGCTCTTTAAAAAATATCTTTCCTGTTTGAATTTTACTTCCCCAAACCTCTCACCTACGGTGGAAAATCGAGGCTTTATGGGTTTAGTTCCCCAGCCAAACAAGCAGCCCAGAATGGGCACAGTGTTTCCTGCTGATTAAAGGGGGCTCTGTGTTTGTATCAGCCCGGCCTCCTGTCCCCGGCGGTCACCGGGGTTAAGTGATTGCCGGCAGCCGCCAGGAAAACCCAGGTCTCCATTTCGAGCTTCAGAGCGGAGCCGGGGAAAGAGCTCCTCTTTCAAAGGTGGATGAGAGGAGGTCTAATTAGTGTGCAGAAAACATCCTGAGAGCACAAGGTGGAGGGAAGGCCCGGAGGAGGCAGAAAGGCCGCACAGGGACGCCGGAGCCCTGGGGAACTGGGTCCCAACTGCTCAGCTCTTTGGGGTCGCCGGAGTAACCAGAGACGGTGGGTTTAAGGACCAGCTGTCCTTGGGGACATTTTTCGGCGGATGCTGTCTCAAAGGGTGGCGCATGAGCTCCTTGAGCCTTTGGAAATCCAGGACCTGCAATGCTGGCCATCGACCTGCTGGGAGGCCTATTTGAGTTTTGCTGTGGTCTAAGGCTAAGGGTCGCGGCTGGGGCCTCACTGCTAACACTGCTTTTGGGAAATCTACTAAGATAAAGCAAAGGGTGGGAAGTAGGGAACCACAGGGAGGGGAGACGCCTGATCGGTCAGCCAGCAAGCATGTGGCCATGGCACAGCCAAGGCTCTGGGGTCCTGGAAGACCACTGCGGGAGCCACCGGGTGCATCCATCGCCGGCGAATCCCATGCCGACACCATGTGAGTCACACTGGTCAGTGGGAGCCACTGTCATTTGATCTCGCACAATGTTCCAGAGGACTGACAAAACCCAGCTGCTCTCTGGGGCTGGGCTCACCCTATCCTCAGCCCTCAGCCTGCCGCTGGGTCAGGGCTGGGAGGTCCAGCAAGTGGAGAGGGATGGACAAGGGCCATGGCCAGGCATTCGGCAAGAGTGATGTCTGGGGGGGGAGCTGGAAAGCGGGGAGCAGAGGGCAGCTCCTGAGCCTCAGCCAACCTCACAGCTAGGGCAAGTGGGCAGGTGGTTAGAGGAGGAGGGCAACAGTGCTGCTCTGTGTCTTTCTGGGCTGGGGACACGCAGACCCCCCGGGCACAGGGCTAAGCACAGGGCGGGGGTGCCTGGGGGGGCCTGTGCCAGCCTTAGCATCCTGCCCGGCCATGCGCTGGGCCTCCCGGGACACCCAGCCTGAACGAGCAATGAAGGGCACCTGCTCTTCCTGCACTCTCCCAACAGGGAGCACGCCCCCCGGTATCTGTTACACCTGAGTGCCAAGCGCTGCCACCTCCAAACCAGAGCTTCCCCATCCCACTTGTGCATGGCTCGGCCGTGAGGCCCCAGCTCTGCTAGGGTACAGGAGAACACGCAGATGCCCCTGCCTCATCCCGAGTGAAACAGAAACCAGTGCCACAGAGGAGGACGCATGGGCAGGGGAGCTCTGATAAACTCAGAGAACCCTGGGAGCCATTTGTTACACTGGTACCCGAATTGCAGATTTTAGAAAACCCAAGGCTGAAGCATTAGAGGAGACAGAAAATCCCAAGGCAGGGTCAGGGTGCTGAGGGGAGGCACCCGGGAGAGCTCAGGATGGGAGGGGCGCCCTGGCCTCCCCAGGGGTCTGGCTCAGCCGTACACTGGGACTGGGGAACCTATTCTGGGACCAAAGAAGTCCGTACTGATCGCCATCATCTTCCTCACCTTCCAGGAGGTTGCAGCCAGGCAGGGCTGGACAGAAGAGGCTGTCCAGATGCCCAGGACCAAGTGCCCAGCCCTGCTGTGGGCACCCCTTAAATCTGCACCTGAGGAGCCAGGTCAGCTGCCCTGAGACCTGGCAGGGAAGCTGGAGGAGCTGGGGACCTCATGAGATGCCCTTCAACCCTTCCAGGTGCAAGACAGGCGACTATCAGGCCTGGCGCTGCCAGAGTAAGACACTGCAGTGGATGGAAATCCAAACTCCTGTGGGGCTGCTTCCTGGGATTCTGGGTGTGGCGGCACATGAGTCCCCATGTGAGCTGTCACCTGCTGCCACCTACCCATGGGGAAGAAGGGAGGGTGGTGAGTGGAGCCAAAGGCGATCACTCCCGGTTCGCCTACTCCGGAGCTTCAGGGCTGAGCGCCAGCTGCACTGCTGGTGTCCCAGTGCAGTCACCGTGCAGCAATCCAGGGTGTCTGGGGCATGGGGAGGCCCAGGACAGCTGTGCGGACAGGCGGGCCTTGCTGGGCCAGGCGCCTCCCCACCCTGACCCGGGTCACCGCCCACACAGAAGCAGTGAGTGTGCATTTCCTGTCTTCTCACCTACAGTTGGGGAGTCAGAGACACCGGGAGTGAGGCAGGTTCCCAGAGGGCGGGGCAGAGCAGGCTGAGTCCACCGTCCCTGCCCTCCCCCCTTCCTGGGTGCCACCCTCGGCCCATGGAGCTGCCCGATACTGCCAGGTACCTGTCGCTTCACGGTCACAGCGCAGTCAGGACTGGAGAGAACGCACATTGAAGAGAGCACCTGGCACCTTCGGGAGGACCCAGGCAGGCACCAGCTGGGCTCCCCTGTGCACCCCACCAGACACGGCCCACACCCGGGCCTCTCCTCTCCTGCAAGCTCCCCT